TATTGAGTTGTTTCAAAAGTGTCGTCATTAAATATTTATCTCTTTTTTTATGTTTCAATTTTAGAGATCAAAGGGTGAGAGTTCAAAAGAGCACGAGAGTTCGAACAGTTAATCGAGAGAGTTTGGGGGAAATTGAATCGTACCGATTTTTACGCACCGATATTCAACTCCAATATTGTAAATTGTCGTTGCGTGCGCTATTAGTTTGATTACAGATGTGCGATTTGAAGAAGCAAAATGCACAAAACGAGTATGATACGCATCGCGGCACGGCTACGCACGCGCAATTCATCTTCACTTAACCAATTTCCTGAAATTACGATTCCCAGGCGAATTAATTACCACCGTCGCGGTAAATAAGTTAATCGCCGTGCGCCGACAAAAAAATACAAACGGCAAAGAGGGCGTTGGTCCCCGAGTGACGCGGTCGTGTCGCATTCTCGCGCAAAGATGCGGCGCGATGCGCGCTCCTCGACGATGCAGGTACGTCGCGCAGAAACCGCCGTGCTTCTCCGTTGCATCACCACGAATGACCACGACACTACTGGTAGCGCGCTGCGATGCACAAGAACGTAATTTATGTCGGTGGCGATGCAACGACGAGCGAGAACAGAGCCGAAAGTATCGCGAGCTCATTCTCATTCCTTTCAAAATTCTGAACTCGCCGGTCAAAATAACAAAGATGCCAGACACGACGAAAAAAGCCGCTCAGCTTTGACCGAAACTCTTTGTCAAAGAGCTAACAAAACTTTGAACCGCGCTTGTTAAGATTCTCTTCGGAACTCATTATCGGACTTCTCAAACTTGCTTCTATATGTTTCAATACTTTTTTTTTTTACTAAAGTGTCTGTAGTATTTTAATGATATAATTTTATTGAAAGAACTAATTTGCGATATATAAAAAGTTTGCGTAAAAATTCATGCTTGACATATGTATAGCAAGATTGTCAATGGATAAAATTGTAAATTTAAAGATTATAAATTATAAATAAATGAATAACACTACTCAATATTTCATAGTTAAATCTTGAAGATATTTATATTAAAATTATATGCAAATGTTGTATCATAACAAATTAATATTATAAAAATTAACCATCCAAAATTAACTACATCAAATACAACTTTAAAAAATGATTTAAAACAGCGTTTCGCATCTCAGGTTCTCTTCGACACAAGATCGAGACATATTAAGGTAGCAGTATTGGGAACAACACTCTCTCATAAACAGTTCAATCTTCCTGAAGAATCTTTGCGAACCTACTGAAAGGACAAGTAAAACAAAACCGCTTCTGTTATTCCCGCGCTTACCGAGAAGGAAAAAAGAAAAGGGGACGGAGGGTGGGCAGGAAAGGTGAAAAGAGACAAACAGAGAGAGATATACGTCTCTCCTTCGCCTCCCAGGTGCGCGATTGCTTCTAATTGCCCGCTCAGTGGCCCCGAGGTGCCTCCAAAGTGAAATTGCAGCAGCGCGAACTACGTGAGGAGCAAGCGAGACGGAGTCGAACAAAAAGAGCACGCCGTGAAGAAGCGCGCGACGCGTACACGACGAGGACGAGAAAGATCAGTCGTGATGCCCTCCTTGAGAATAGCGAGAACGATCTCGAGTTGTTTTCGCTAATTAACCTGCGGTCCGCCGCGATGCGACGGGCGCTTTTGTATCGCGTCGAGAGCCCGCATCGCCCTTTATAACGCTAAAATTCGGTAAACGTTTCTGCGGTAAATCTTCGCGCGAAGCGCAAGACACGGCTTGTACTTCCTTTCGACCAGAGATAAACCAGTTTCGCCCGTACGGGACTCGCGTTCTTTTCTCAAGTTCAATCGAGTTATGGGATCGCTTTATTATACATCGTGCCGCGGCTGTTTGCCGATTGGATAATGTCATAAATTGTTATGCAAATTGTGTCAAAGTTACGAACAAGTTACTACTTTGAGCAAAAGCTTTGTGTTGCATTCAATTGATTTAATAACGTGCAATAAACATTTCCTTTTAATGAAAAACTTTCGTGTCGCGCTTGGCAGAATAGCTTTCTCGCAAATTTTATAAAGAGATATATAGTTTCAATGAAATATAACAAGAAACGAAAAAGGTGAAAAAAGGTCATATTTTTAAGCGTTTTATATTAATCTGAGAACACGTTAATTTCAATTATTATAAATTATAAAGAACTTTCACACTTTCTCCTTGCTTTTGTTCTACGCTCTCGCAATGTTATTGATCCGTCAGAAATCACGCTTTTCTGTTTCATGTTTTCGATCGATATTAAAATTTATTGGATATCTTCTGCCTTTCTCATTCTAACACAAAAGAGAAAGTACCGAAGCAAAAACCAGAGGAAAAAATACGGAAGTTCTACTGTATCTCTGACAGCTAATATAGCTATAATATTTATTATTATTACTGCAATTATCCTTATTATTACTAGTTACTTTACGACTCAATTCTGCTCGAGAAGCTTCGACGGATCCGATCAACCGATTATGAAGATACCTCGCAAAAGTCGCGTTCGCAGATAGTGTCTTAATCACAATGCTCGCCCCGAAAGGAAGTTGGCCAGTCACGGGCACGAAGGTCGCGCGTGTAGCATCCCCCATCAGTGAGATTTTTCTCTCGCAATTATCATCTCCCGCGAGTGTGGCGGCCAATGCGAGCGCGGCGGCGAACAGACTGATCCAAGTAACCGATAACTGTTTAATGCGCTCATTAAAATAAAATGTAAATCGTACCGCTCCGGTCCAAGGTCTGCCGCCGCCACTCCGCTTCGAGACGTCACTCCGATCGGCCGAAGATGAAAATAAAATAAACGCGTCAGGAGATCATAAGTCGCCACAATTAATATCCGGCGGGTCGCAATAATCTCTCTCTCTCTCTCTCGGTGCGGGATCCCCGAACATGAACACGATTCACCGCGAGGGAGACAGAAAGGGAGAAAGGGAGACGGAGGGACGGATAAAGAGAACGAGCAAGAAGGAGAGTGCGAGGGGAGAGCCCGATTTTTGCGACGTTTTTGCAGCCTGCACCGGCAACTTTGTTATTGATGACCGCGATGTTGAGCGCGCAGAATAAAGAAGGTAGGCGTT